ACTTAGGTACTCTACCATCACATTCAAGAGGAGGCTAAAATTATCCAAGAATGTTAAGTGATTGAAAAGCTACATAGTTTAAATCACTGTACTGACCTTTTTCTAATTCCATCCAACACAGTCTGGGAGAATGGAAAGCTAAGGAAAACTTGTTTCAAGGTGAATTGAGGCTAACCCTTCAGGGGCTGCATGGAAGAGTAGAGAGAAACTTTAATTGGCTGCATTAGAGCTGTAGAGAGTTAAGTACAAAGAGTAGGGGCAGTTTGTCATATAGGAATAAGCAGGTGGGGAGTTGGTGGAGCTATTTTGTCACATGCACTGGCCACAGAGATGACTAGCCATCTGGGGTTATAAAGCTGAGATGTGTGGCATTCCAAAAAAGGAAATCACAGATTCCTTCTTCTGGAGTGTTACAGCCACTTGTAGGAGATTTTGTAATTGCTCTCTAATTCTCATATGTGCCACCCTAACTCAGGTCTGTACCTGGCAGAATCCAGCCAATGACGGTTAATGCTGTTAGAAGTTCTTTATTAAAGAAAACTGTATTTACTGCTAACTTGGAGTGCGCTGTTTATTCCACACTTTAATTAACTGCAACTGAATTAAAATTTCACACTTGTGTAATTTAATACAGACCTGGAAAATATATCAGCGCTTCTAGCAGTTCCTCTGCAATTCACAATGAAGCTATACCAAATTGATGTGTTTTCTCAGCTGTATATTAAATGAAATGAATCAAGTGTAAGCAGGGTCAGGATAAGCTCTATGCTGACATCTGGGGGTGAACTGTGGCAAGTGATGCAAAAAGACTTCAGGGGCTGATTCATTTTCATAGGCACGCCCACCCTTCCTAGTATGTGCTCTCAGCAGCCAAATGGTCACTTTGGCCCCTGTGGTATCTCAAGTTTCACTGTTGTTGAGGCAGGGGGGATAAAGTGGTGTTACCCTGATTATGTGAATCAAATACTTACGCGGATCCGACTTATGTCGGATCCGCACTTACGAACGGGGCTTTTCTCGCCCCGGAGCTCGTGTCCTCCGGGGCGAGAAAAGCTGCTCCGGGTCTCCCTGGTGTGCTGGGGGCTTTGCTCCTTTGCCCGGGGGCTTTGCTCCTTTGCCCCGGAGCAAAGGGTCCCCCGCCTCTGCGGCTTTGCTCCTGTCTCCCTGCTGTGCTGGGATGATTAGCAGAGCAGTTTGCGGGGGCAACTGGTAGATGCAGGTGAGCAGCTGGTGGGGATGACTGACAGATGGCCGGTGGAGCAGCTGTAGGACCTACCAGCTGGTGGCTGGGGAGCGTGGACTGCCGGTAGACTGCGTAAGATGTATCAACCCCTGCCCCCTCTATTGCACCCAAGTTGGGATGGTAAAACCCTGCCAGGTGAACTTTTGAACTCTGGGGCGGTACTGACCCAGGGCAGAGACTTTTGAGGTGTCGGACTTTGGGTGATTTTTGGGTTGCTGGTCTTGAAAGACTTTTGGGGTGTTGGACTTTTGGGGACCTTGGGTGATTTGTGGCTGGGGGGGTGGGTCTTTGCTCATGTCTGGTTTATGAATCTGAGTTGAGGTGTTTTCCCACTTCAATGCTGATGTCGGTTACCCTGTGTTAAAGATTTGCTGCTATACCAAGGCTCTGTACTTGCGAGAGGGGAAGAATTGCCTCTTTGAGGCACCCAAGGGTGTGTGTAAGATTTCCTAGGTCACTGGGTGGGGTCTCAAGCCGGTGTTGTATTATGGTGTTGGGAGGAGACCCCTAGATATTGAACCCGGCCCTTGTTGCAATTAACTTGTCCTGGCAGAAGGGTTACACAAGTATTAACTATAAAGTTGTTTATGAATTTTATACTTTGGTCACAAGGTTTCCTAATATGTTCATGTAAGAGATTCTTTAATATATCAAAAGGATAATGAGTCCTTTTTGGAATACATGGATCTGGGTTATAATTCCTATTAAATCTATCAGGTAAAATAACAATTAATTGGCAACTATGAAATTCTTAAGTGAAAACTGATTTGTTACATTGTTAATCCCATTCAGTAACATGGTGATATTGGGTCTTTTACCAGGCTTTCATTAGATTGCTTTCATAGTTTATACTTAACTACAATTCATGATTTTGGTTACCTATTTTACTTCCAGCATTGATAAGGCACTTTGAACAATGTGTCTCTGTAAACATATATACCATGTTGCTGAAAAATTCCTTCAGAACTTTGATACTTGCTTTGTTAAATTAGGATGTTGCTGGCTTGTGGCAAGCTAGGTTGTTAGCCTTTTAAAAAAGTTTTTGCTACACGCCTATAATGTTGCACTGTGCAAAACATAAATATGAAGTACCACCTACACTAGAGAATTTACAGAAGAGGCCATAAAAAGATGAGACCTGCTCAAAGAATCAGAAACAGTCTAGATAAGTACCTTAAAAAAATCTTGAGTGAACTATTTCTTATAGATTTTATTTCTGGACTTCGCATCTTTGGGTGGTATTTAAATGAGGAGTTGGATATTATATTGGGTTAAGAGGTTATTTTTCCTATCCCCCTTCTGCATCCATTGTAACATGATGTTCAAAAGTGCTAGTTCTAAGTAATTCAAATTAGAGGAAGCAAAGGAGTGATCTAAGTGCCACATAGAGTGATAGAAAATTTACTGGCTAGGTCTGAGCAACTCACTGCCTTTCCCTTAGAGTAGCAAATGTAAGGGAATTTCATCTTATTAAACTAAGTTTTCAAGGGATTGTCCTCCATTTTCTTCTGGATTAAACTTAACTCCTTGGCTTTTTAGGTGTAAATATAGCTCTCCAGAATTTGTATTGCTTTAAGAATTCGAGAATATTTTGTTAATGATTATTAAATCATTCCAAAATAGCTGAACGTCTTCCTCTTTCAAAATAAGTGGCCAGAAACAATCCACCAAACAAATGTAAACCAGAAACAAACACTAAATATTAATTTAAAAAGCGAACTGGAAAAAATCATGTATGACTTGAGCCCCAGAATTAGGTTGTAGCAGACGACAAGGTGTATGGCCTTCAACTGTACACCCAGATACCAATCCCATAAAATATAACTTCATCCTTCATTTGTCAGGACTCCCCAGTTGCAATGGGGAAATAGAGGTAATAGTGTCTTATACATAGGTTTTAGATCTTAGAAAGTTAATACTTTCTGGGTTGGACTGACTTAAAGCATAGGAATTGCTCATAGTGATTCACCAGACTCAGAAAGTAGGTTTTCAGAAGTTTCTGAAAGCTTATCAGGCCACCTTCCTATTTCAAAGTAGTACACGTGATCCATCTGCCTGGTGTTTTCAGAAGTACAGATGCTGTACATATTGGACTTCTAAAATCTGGGGCTCTCTGGTCTGGCACCATCCATGGTCCAGAAGGACTATGAATATTGCTGGAACAGAGAGTTCTGACTGGCAAGTTCAGGGACTGGGCTAGTAGCGGGGAGAGGTGAGGAAAGGTGGGGCCAGCATGCTGGGGAGTAGCCTGGACAGCCGGAATTGTAGTCAGGACTGGAGCCCTAGAATGCAGCTTTTACTGACAGCAAGAGTGGAGCCCTGACTGGGTAGTGTAGCCCTGGCCCGAAGTTGTGTGGAGCAGCGTAAAGAGCCAAAAGGGGAGCTTTGACTTTCCCCTGTGCTGGCAAACGCTGTCATTCAGGAACACTCAGGTCCCGAGGGTGCCAGATCAGGGTTCTCTGCCTTTAGTGAAATCTACATATTGGTAAAGATTGTAGAGTCCTTATCAAATATAAATGGAAAACCATGCATTCTAAGACTGCCCCTTCAAATGTAGCAGCAAAGGCTCCATTGGGACTGCAAGACTATACAACATACTTAACATTATACTGCATCTCCCTCTAAAATTGCAAATACAATTGAGATATCCTAGGCAGAGTCTGTGGTCATGATGCATATTGGTACAAATATATGGGAGGTGCAAGAGAGCTCCTAGATGTTAAGTTAAGCTCTCAAAAAGGTTTAAAGTGGTGTTCCCAATGTAGTTTTTTGTTTGAAATGGCTTGGTTCCCTGTCTTGATGGCCCTACAAGCATAACCTTGAGTAATAGATGTGACTGGGGAGATATTCAGTTTGTTAGGCATGTGGGATGTTTTGGATGAAGAAACATTTTTGTATAGCAAAGTTCCACCTGAACCAAAGAGGATCAGAATCTTCAAATATACCACCAAAACACTACAAGTGAGCAGTTTTTAAACATGTTGACTAGTATTACTGCTTATAGTCTTCAAGCATGTCCTCTGATATGTGGCCTTCTTCCAGAGGTGAAGGTAAATGGGTAGACCTTAGTGCACAGCTCTGGCAAGAGCTGTGGCAAAATCCAGCAGGAAGTTGTTTAAAGAACTGGCAGGAACCCGAGTTGCAAAAGGACAATACCTATAAGAAATTTTAAGTTACTTTCACCACTGCCTTCTCCAGATGTTTCCAATTTCAAGTTGCTCAAGTTTCTGAAAAAATCTTTCTTGGCAGAAGATTTGCTATGCATGGTTGCAGCTCAGAAGCAAGTATTTGGAAAATACTCCAAAAATACCTCAAAGTTACAATCTGTTAAGATCTGCAGATGGAACCAGAGAGACCTATAGATATTCCAGATTAACAGGGAGTCTGTCCCCAGGAGCATTCGGCTGTTTGCCACTTGAGCTAAATATTTCAATTTACCAGTAAAATTATAATACAAAACTATTCAGATTTTTACTTTGGTGTGGTTTTCCCCTACAGTCAGAAATACTGATTATAATGAAGGACACATTCCCATTTATGGAGAGATTATTCTGAAGCCTCCAATAGAGTTGTTTCTGCCTTCAGCTTTGTTCTTGTATGTAGTGGTTGAAGAAGTGAATCACACTTGTGATGTGTTTTAGAATCAGATATATCCATATTTCATCTTTTTAATGATTGTGTTGTTTGGGACTAAAATTTATTTGGTTGTTCTAGTCAGAAATACTGAAATTCTCCTCCCCTACTCCCTCCGTTACAGGCAAGAAGAGACCAACAGAAGACTGAAGAATGTAAGCCATGTTTACCTTATGCTTTGGTTGAAATAATGATTTCATATATACTTTAATTTACTATTGTAAAAACTTCTCTTGTCATGCCATTGTCATTCTTAGATAACTCTTCAGCTGTTCATGTGTTTGGTGTACATCAGTACTACTTTCCTGTGTGTCTCTTCCTGAGTAACTTTAGAATGAAATAATAATAAATTTAGAAAAAATAGTTAGAAATGTAATAATAATTTAAATATTTTCTCATTGGGACATGTGTGGATGGACCACAATGATAACTCATCAGTTGTTTTTTTGATGGAGGCAGCCTGGCAAATATATACTGCCCTCCCCCCCAAAAAAGGATTTTACACTTCATTGTGGAAAACTTGAAACCAACCATAGCGGTTTGTGTTCAGTCCTTTTTGCACTGGCATGCTGTTTAGTAGTTCTCAATTTGTCTTTTTTTTGTTTGTTTGTTTTAGGTTTTGATTACATTATACTGGCTGGGGAGGAAAGCACAAAACAACCCTCATTATAATGGTCCACACCTTAACCTTAAAGCATTTGAGAAATTACTAGGACAAGGTCTGACCAGGGTAAGAAAGTCAAATGGAATAGTAATTGCTATGTACTTTTGTAAGGCTGAGTATTAAATATATGTTGCATAATTTGCCATATGCCATACATTAGAGATGTCAATTCTAAACCTCTCTTTGGGTTTTAATTAAATTTTTCTTGTGAGAAGATGGCAGATATTCCTCACTTTTTCCCCAAAAGTGCTTAAGATACTTTAAGCGCTACCACTTCAATAAAGGATTATAAATTCCCTCATTTATCTGAGGAAAACTTAGGATTTTTTTCTTCGTTTTGACCCAAATTAAAATGGAATGTAAGGCACAGAGTATCCCGTCTGAGTTTCTTGTCTGAACTTCGGAGTGCACTTTTTAAAGCTGTGTATAGCATGTACTATGTAAAGTATCTGTTTCTGAAATTGCCAAAAAAAATTCTGAAAACAACAAAATAACTTATTCCTTTAGGCCCTCGAAGAATCCTGCAGCCTGAAAAACAGTGGCAGGGATAGCGGGTACGGTGATATTTGGTACCTTGACCGTGGAGAAGCATTTTCACCTTCCACTAGCCATAAAAGAGACGATTCTTTTGATAGCCTGGACTCCTTTGGTTCAAGATCCTCTGCAAGCTTTTCATCAGATATAACCTTGAAGGGTGGCAGTGAAGGTATTTTTGCTTATTAGGGCTCTCTGTTAATTTATGGATTGTGAGAGGAAGATTGGGGAAGAAAGCATATGGACCTAATATTGCAACTGCTCAATGTGTTAAATTCCCACTGACTTCAAAGGCAGCTCCAACTCAGAAGTTGCTGCAGGAGTACTAAGTGCCATATCAACATGTTTTTGCATGAGCAATTATTGACTAGCTAGCAGCTGGCTGAAAACAAGTAATCTAGTCTCGCAAACGTGATTCTAGATGGGCTGTTTGGGACCTTTGCTCCACTGTCCTCTCTTGCTTATTTTTAAATTGTAGGGAGGAATGTGTAGAGGTTTGGTTGTTGACCACTTGCTTAATACACAGATTTTTTTCTCCTGTCCCAGGCTGTTTTGCTGGATAGCAGGACTGATCTTTCTGTTGAACTGCAGTGCTTCTAACAGTGCTTGCCAAAACATTTTATTTGGAGCTTTGGTCAAATAAATCTTTGTGGAAAACTTTCATTTTTCCAAAACTTTCAACATCATAATGAAAACTGAAAAACAAAAAGTCTTCACAATATTTTAATCAAAATATACAACACATTGTTTAGCTACCGCTAATGATGGTTTTCAGATTTTGGAATCTCTGTGGGTATGACTGGTTTTGAAAGAGATGAGACACTACATTGCTTTTTGCGGTGAACTAAAATGCCTATAACTTATTTAAAAAAATACCAAACCACTAAAGGTGTAAAATATATGTTGTATTCTACATATTAAGTTCAGGCTATTCTTCTGTGTATTCAGTGTTCTAATGGCTAGAGCACTGGACACTACCACTTTGGCTCAAGATCTGTTATTTACTCTCAGCAACTCACTTTACTCTAATGGGCTTGTTGTTTGCTACATTTAGAACACATGGATAGAAATGCTTTGTAATTAAGTATCTTTGAGAACTGCATTTTGAGAACTGCAGATGAAGTCTAAGCAGTTTACAACTGATGTAGTATATGCATAATATCATACTTATCTAAAGGCATTTTGGCTCATTTACACCTAGAGATGTAATCTTCCAGCTCAGACAGATGTAGGAGCGTTGGCTTTGAGTTAGCATACCAGGTATGTAGTCAGGCTGGTACCCTGGCCATGGTGGATACACTGCTGGTTTGGCACAACTACTACATCTTCCCCAGATGGAAATTACACCTCCAGTTTCAGAACAGAGGTACTCTAAATGCTGGACTTAAATCACTAGCAGCCAGGAAGAGAGGCATTGAAGCAGAATTTCACACTTAACACACCGTGTTGTGCTTTGCTTGTGCATTTCTGCTCCTTTGTAAGATTGTTTAAAGATCTTTAGACAGAATTATTAATTTCACATCTCTACCTTACTCTTTTCTATTTGTAGGCATAAGTTAGGCCTCTGGGGTTTTTTTCCACATTCACCCATAAACCAACATTGACGTGAACTACTTAAAAGTGTTTTCATCCAAATTTGAAAATAGGTTTCATTTTGGCTTTGTAGGTTTTTATGAAAATTGCCAAGAGCAAAGACTGTTCAATCAAATTGCTTCAGTTATTTTTGAATGTGGCTTACATACCTCCTGCAGTTGAATACCTTTACATTTCAATAGTCAAGTAAAATTGACTGTGTAGCTGTCCCAAGTTTGTAGACTTGTTTGGATGGTATAGTTTACAAAACCAAATGTGTAAATTGTATACATTGTTCAGAGGTTTCATACATTTTTTTGGCCTCACTCTATAAACCTTCAACCAATCTCTGAGCTGTGTGTATTAATTTAATACCTTATAACTCAAAAGTATTTTATTAAATTTTTCAATATCTAAGGATTAGCACATTGCTTTCCACCTCTAATGGGAACAGTAGAAAAATCATTATATTCTAACACTAGCATGTAAACCAGTTTCAACTCCATTCACCCTTTTCAAAGCTTCATGACATACTTCTAAAAATACTTCTGTGGCTATCTTGTTAGTAGTATTGCATGTTTTAGGAAAAAATTATGAAAATACATACCGGTAGCTTAATCAACTTCGGTTTATTATAGGCTTTAGTCAAAGATTTAAACCTAGAGTATAAACTGTGTGCCTTTGGCTTTTTTTTAAGGTTGTGAAAGTGACACGGACTCTGAACTGCCTTACAAAATGCATGATTCTAGCAAAGATGACATGTCATACCGCAGGATTGCTGTGATTGAACCAAAGACTACTACAGAGTTCAATCGTTTCTTACCAAGCAAAGCCAAACCGGCATCATATATGCCAGCGCCACTCAGGAAAAAAAGGACAGAGAAGAATGAGGACAATAGAAGAAGTTGGGCAAGTCCTGTCTTCACTGAGCCAGATGGAACATTTTCAAGGTACTAGCGTGGTATTTAAGTTGAGCAAATTTTTGATTTATGGCAAATGGGACATACTCATTCGTTAAAGTATAGAGAAGCTGTCCTTATTAAAAGTAAAGTATTTGAGACTTGCAAAATAAACTGTTTTTGGCATAGCTGGTTGCTGAATAACATTGTGACATGCATAAAACTTTGAGTGGGAATTTAGATTATCTTAAAATGAAGAATTAAAGTGACCAGAACATATTTTACTTTTTTGGTCCAAACTTATCCAGATTTTGTTGTTAATCTCTGCTGTCCAATTTTCCAGTTTGTAAATTATTGGGCATTTTGGGGTTTCATCATGATCTAGGTGACTTCACTATCTTCACTTTGTTCCTATTTTGGTCAATCTCAGTGGACGAGGAAAGAATCCTTTAGCTTCCTGTCAAAATAGCAGAGCAGAATTTGGGTTTACAAATCCAGCTTCCGTGCAGATGATCTATGAGTATGACAGTGGCTCTGATTCAGAAGATGAAAGAAGACTGCCTGACGTGGTTATGGATGATTTAGCAAAACGTAGATTCTTAATAAAAAAGAGCCCTGTGAGTTCTGCTGCACCTGGACATCTTTACATCTTGCACAAGGACTCTTCTAAATCTTGTTTACAACAAAGTTATCCAGCTGGTCCATTATCTGCTGTGCTTGAACCAATGAGGTCAGAGATACTAATCCTAGATCCAAATTACTATACTACCAAAATTGCAATCCGTAAATAACTGCATCAAAAAGCAAACATTTCTAATCGACGTTTATTTAATTATTCTGATAAATGACTACATTCTTTGTAGTCAAATTCCTTTCTTTTTATCAGATGAAATAAGATGCTATTATAACCACTTAACTTTGTTCTAGTGCTGCAGTAATGGAATTGAAAACTAATTTGCTTCATTCACAAATTTGAACTTTTTGAGCCAAAAAGCATGTCTCTTGCATATGTTGTGAAGTTGATGCTAAAGTATCTTAATTGATTGGATATTTTGAACAGTAACCAGAGGAGGCAGAGGCATTTGGACCCTAAAGAGGAAAACAAGCCAAAAGTTAATATTTCTTCAAAATTCTCCGGCTATTCTGATGATGAGGAAGAAAAGGCAGTAGGCATCCCAAACATTGAAAAAGATGATCTCTATGTTCGCAAATTAAGCTCAGCCATTTCAAACCCAGCAGTTTGTTTTGACAAGTTTCTTCCTAAGTTTTGGACTCCAGAAGAGGAATTGCATTGGAAAAAAGTAAAAAAAGGATCCTCTTCCAAACCATGGTATAAGGAGCTTCAGGGATTCAGGTTTGTGTGTGTGTGCATGCTACTCTTATGTCTCATGTATGCACAACTTTTGATTGCGATGTGGCTTTAAATATTTCAAGAAACTTTTTTTGGTCTATTTTTTTTTTATCAACTCTACTGGCTGTTCCTTGAAAATTTAAACAGCCGCTTTTTTATGGCTTATTTGTTCAAGCAGAAGTTTTTGCAGGGAAATAAACTGCTGTATTATCTACAATAGACAATTGCACCTCAATCTTTATGCTTCAGTCCATAATTACTATAAATATTTCTTAATTTCCACTCTTTTTTTTCCCCCCCCCATTCCTCATGCTACTTTACAGTAGGAGGAAGTCTGATTCTGAGGATGAAGCTTCAGCCTTAAAACCAAGCAGTGCCAAACTGACTGCTGAATATGTGGGGAAATCATTGTCCCAAATTGCAGAAGGGGGACTCACATATGCCTCTGATCAGCCCAGGTTGATATAATTGCATGAACTGTACGCTCTTGCTGTATCAAGGGAAACGACTACTAATGCAACGCCTGAGTGAATTAAAAGTGCAACTCATGATGTTGCTATTATCTCTGTACTTAGTCACAAGTTGCTAGTTTACTGAAAGGCATAACAAACTGTAAAAGATCATTAGCTTTGTGTATGAGCATGTGATCTTGTTGTTTGAACCACAGTTAATATGCTGTATTATCATTTTAGAGGGATGGATGTGTGCTGCATTTTAGAAATGATAGCAACTGCTGAATTGTATGTGTGCTTCTCAGACTATTCCAAGTCTAAAACAAATGTTCCACTGAATATTTTGAGTCTTCTGCCAATTAATGATACTCTACCTTCCTCTTTTTTGTTTATATACTTCAGTCAGTTTTCATTACTGCAGACCCTCCAAAAATACTCTGATGATTATTTGTCTTCTGAAATGAAGACCAAAATTGATCCTACTTCTGGCCCTAGGGTCATAACATGCAGGAAGAATATTTCTTCAACACCAGGATGCAATCAGAGGGAAACTATGAATGGAGACCTGTATCCAGACTTAGAAAATGATGATTTATTTATTCGGAAAACTGGGGCTTTCCAGTTGAATCCAGTTGCTCTTCAAGCTTTTGAATATTTTAGAAAATCCTCTGGACAAGAACCTCTTCTAGAGGGTGAAATAATTCTGCAGCCCAGAGAGGGACAGCCTGTTATTCCGGATTTAGAAAAAGATGACATGATTGTCCGAAAAGTACAAACACAGAAAAAAGAGGCATCTTTATCAGGTGCTCCACTTGGAGTCTCCCACCAGAAATCCAATCCAAATTTCTTTGTTTACTTGACAAGACTACCACAACAGAAGAGGAAAAAAATGGCGGTATAGTCTTATCACCCTCTTCACGACATAAGAAAGATGACATGCTAACTCGCAAGATTGAGTCTTGGAAAGTAGGAAGTGTTGTGCAACCAGTCAGTTTTACTCCAGGTCCATGCAGTGAAGAAGACTGGAAAAAATGGGAGGCTATCAGAGAGGCCAGCAAAGTTAAACACAAGAAACGCCAGATGGTTAAGAGGTCAGGTTGTGTCCATGTGTGGAGAGTGCTTGTGTCCAAGTATTTGAAATGTTCCCGTTAAAGAAAGCATCATCTTGTACTGAACTGAACCATGCATGTAGTGCGAAACTGCAGTGTATTTATTTTTGTGTAGTCAGCGAAAAGCTTAAGACTGGGCAATACCGTATTTTCAAAAAAAAACCCTAGTTTTCCTGTTTTTAGATTATTTTGATCGCTACTAGTAATGTACATTGTGTCCTTTAGTCTCAAATTATTCATGCTGCTTTCTACGTTTGATCAGGAGTGGGAGTAATCACCCAAGAGACCATGGAAGGCAATACTTTATATCTCAAAACAAGAGTATAAATGTTGCAAAATTACCTGCACACTAGAATTATTTCAGGAAATAGATGCTCTGTTAATATTGTTTGAGCTAGATCTGAAAAATTCCCAAGGCTCACTTACCCATAGCTCTAACCCTACTGTCCTCGGTGAAAAGCGCTTGTGCCACTTTGACCCTAAAAAGCTTATCCCCAAAAGGTAGGGGTGTGTGTGTGTGTGTGACTTGAACTAGCCCTTTCATTTCTCCATCCCAGGGGTTCCCAAACTTTTTGACACGGGCACCAGTAAATCCATTCACGAACTTTTGGAGGACCAGTAATGTTCATTTGCATATTCATTAATCAAATGATGAATATTCAAATAAGTTGTTTCTGGTCCTCCCAAATCTCCTAGTGCCAGCTTTAGCAAAGCTTTTGATATGGTCACCCCCAATATTCTTGCCAACAAGTTAAGGAATATGGATTGGATAAATGGGCTGTAAGACAGACAAAGCTGGTTAGACCAGGGTTTCCCAAACTTTTTACTTTAATTGGAATCCTTTGTCATGGCTCCTTCCCCACTCTGGCATGATAAATGCAGAAGTGGGGGCCAGCAAGTGTACCCCAAAGCCTTATCTACCAGGCTTTGGTATAAAACTTCCCCCAAGATCTTAAAAACCTAGATCTTGGGAATAAAACTTCCGCTGCCACCACCCAAATGTTGCTAAAGAAACCAGGGGAAAGATCATTTGGGAAATCTTCCCCCTAAAACAAAAATCAGGGCACACCATTAACCACTGCCAGGTTAATAAAAGAAAGAACTTTACTTTTATTATTACAACAATA